GGTTCATGCTCATGCACAAAGTGAATTGAGTGCATCTTTAGGGCCAAGGAAACATTAACACCATAATTCATCATGCATAATTATTAGTTTAATACAACAATCAATAGTTTTTCTATGATGGCATTTAGGCTAAGTATATGCTAAAGATACAAAAGATGTAACACTAAATTTGGCTTAGTGGAAGAGAATCATTAATTATCCGAGAATTTCGGCCTTTCGTGGAAATGTAACTGAGTATTTGCATTGTCTTATCAGCTAAATATAGGGGAAGGCTAATAATCTTATGACAACTAGACCTAATAGGGTTAGAGCATTAGACTAAAAGAGGGGAGTCATTTTTAATATAGGGTTATCTTGTTCCTGGATAAACATCTGTCATAATCCAAAACCTGATGTGGAGATAAAGAAAGTGCCAAAACACCAGAATGTTTCCTCTGAAACATACAAAACCCACTATCCACTTTCATCTTTCACATATAGCAGATGACACATGTATTTGCTCTTAAGTGGAGCTAAAATCCTGCAAACTTGAAACACTCCAAGTGTCTGAAAAGAAATTTTTTGATGGAGCCTCAGAACCAATTTGAACTAATGCATTGAGAAAAAGGATCTCATCAACAAAGACATTGAGAAAAAAACTTCCTCCTCAACCAACCTTGAACACTACTGTTACAGAAGGATCATCAGAAATGGATCATGGTAATCTTTAGTGGTGACAATTTCTAGGCTTTGCTAAATCTGAATACAAATAAACTGTCCCAATCAATTAATAGGAATGCATACTAAGAACGTCTATTGTATTGTCTTGTGCCAAATCAGTGTTTCGCGTGAATAACATGCTCCATAAAGTTTCTTGCCACTAGTTCCACCTTTTTTCCACCCAGAATACACCATTTACACATATAATAAAACCTTCTCTCTCTTTTTCTGTCAAGTGGGCAACCTCATCATCATCCTTGCCTTTGGGTTCTAGGGTTTAGGATAATTGCAGACTCCAACTGGCACCAGCTAACCAACTCCTATAATTACTGTAATTGCAGAATCCAATTGGCACCAAATACTTAACATAAATAGGCTATATATATATATATGTATAATCTCTTTCAATAATTAGAATGATATAATTGAATAGAGCTTCATGAATAATCCTTTCTATCGAAGGAAACAGTAAACAGTATATGACATGAACTCGAACTACAACAACAAAGAAACAAAAACAGTATTGAACAACAATAATTGGTCGCACCGTTCATTTTCATCTTCTTCCGATGAAAAAGACATCCCTGCACAACTTTGACGTGCTGGAGGACCATGCACTCATTAATTTAGAGCAATCATGTCATTTGTATGCCACCGACAGACTCAGTTTTTCATTATATTTCTTGCTTTTCTTCTTCCCTAGCTCATCATAACTAGACTTTGAGCCATGTTTACAGGAAAAAGAACACTACATTCCTGTATGTGGGGGACCATGGAAACACGGGTGCATGCAAAATGATATGACAAGCAAAAAATGCATTCACTTTAGAGTGACTAAATTTCCAGTGTTCGATTGATTTCCCCTGACCCCTTTTATTGCATTAAAAAGGAGAACACAGATGACAAATCAATAGAGTATCAACTCAGGAGTTGAATTAACTGGCAGCAATGCCAGAGATGATATACGACTGACATCACCGGCTAATATGTGCAGGTCTCAACACAAAATTGCAATCTATCTCCAATCTGTGTTGGCAAAACAGATATGTGATTTGAGAAGGGAAGACGACAATAATGCTGAACGTAAAATTTAAAAAGACAAGTCTATATATAAAAAATTTATAATCTTTTCCTTCACAAAGTAAAGAAAGACAAGTCTGTAATATCCTTCAAATCTGCAATTTCTATGGTAATTGAATATTACTTCCCGAGAAATAAAGTTACAATGAAACCCTGCACATGGATTTGACATCATAATATGAATCCAGGCAACAGTTAAAGTTGTTTTCTATTTACTTTCTAAGAAAGATTACCTTTTCCATAAAATTAGTTAAAAAAATATTTATTACTTCTGTACAAGTAGTTCATTTAAAATATATATTACTTACATACAAGTAGGGAAGCACCTTGATCTTCTTACTTCAGGGATGCTGAATGGCTATTATCCAGAGTAAATGCCAAGCTGCGTGAGCAAAAATATGTACTCATCAACTTCTCATTCCTCAAAAATATTGAAATAACAAGATTAACAGGGTATCAATGTCATGAAGGTACCTGCCACTCCCAACTCTTTCTATATATCAGGCTGCTAGAAACCACATGTCAATGTAGTTCCACCCTTTTTCATAAATCAAAATTAGTTTAAAACTGAAGAACAACTCATTCACCAACCCTATCAACAGAACAATTTAAAATTAAATATTTTTCACTTAGAACGGAATTACAAGCCAATCAGGGGAAAATAACACGAAGCAGCCTCTTAACTTGGTTTGTATTTATGGTGTTTACATTAGTGAAAGAATTTGGAAATTCTCATAGTCTGTGTATGAGTTGTAAGGATGGAAACAAACAGTGTCTTCTATTTAGGAAAGAGGTGCAATAGCTTGTTCAGCAAGATCATCACTTCTGGCTTCAGTGACATCAACTAAAATCCAAAAGGACTGAGCAATGAGTCTATGAAGCCCAAATGAGATGACTGTAAATGTACGATCCCATGGACAGTGTTAACAGCATTCTCTCTCCCTCTTCTTGGCCACAGCCCGCGAAGATATTTTAAGGCGTAAAGGATATAGAAATGCCATAACATATAACTGTAGAACACCTCAAGATTGTTCCATAAAGTACAGGGTCATACAGGGTAATATAATGACAAAAGAAAGCCAAACGTGCTCAAAATGCAGGGTCATACAAAATGCTGCAACAAGCATAATAAAAACTAAGGCCCAAAAGATAGCCACAGTAGCATCAGCCCTGCATAAAGGTAATAAAATATGTTGCATCAACAATGATTTGAGACATATAATGCACCATAGGCACTACTGAAGGGATATAATTTTGGAAAATCCAGACAACCAATAAAGGCACTTATGAAATATAAAAGTTAGGAAAGAGGGGAGATCTAAGGGAAAAAGTAAGTCCAACAGGAGGGAGGAAACATAGATTGATAAATCTATGACTTTATTAACGATTTTATTGCTCAAACATCATTATCCTTGCTTTAACCTCAGTTGGTATAACGTTGTGGGAACAGTCCAGTTGTCCATCTTAGTTAAAGTTGTGGACTTGACCTCAATTATATGACCCCTGAAAATTGGAAGCAGATTTATGCTTTTCCGAAAAACAGAAACCTTTCCCTATTCCACAGGTCTTATCTTGAAAGGCATTGATCACATGTCAGAGCCATTGTCAATTCTGATCCTTTTTAAACAGCAACAAATACTCATGGTGGGCATCCCTATAGTGTTGGGGTGTCATGGAGATAAGAGACTCTCAGTCCATAAGATAAAACCCAAGTTTTTCTTGTGCAAATGAATTTGATAAAACAAACACTCGCAGTGACATCCCTTATACCAACTCACTCTTCTCTTAAAAAACTCAACTTTCCAAACACATTTTGAGTATGCCATCAAGATCAAGATAATGCTAAAGTTAGCTTGAAACGTAATTTATACAAATTGCTATTAAAGCAAACGCTTTTGAGGTTCACCTAAATACCCAACTAAAAAGCTATCAAATTTTAATCCCCAAATCGTTTGAGCACATAGCAAGACAAGTAGTGATCAGTTTCAGATCAAAATGACTAGTTCAAGTATGGAGATTCCAGCCACGAACAAAAGCAATACAAACTGCGCAAAAGCTAAAATCTTTTTTAAAATAAATAATTAATAGACAGATAAAAGAGTTGAGAATAGTATACCAGGTGGAGGTTACTTGTTTGGATTTAGAGTTTTGGAGCTTAGAACATCAGTGACGGTGTTTGGGTGGCTGTGCATGGCCTGTCGTTCAATTTTCCCGGTTAACGGATGGGATGGTTTAAACCAAGAATTTGAGTTTGGAAAAAATAGTCAAATTTTCTCTTGGTTGTGTTTTTGTTGGTCAGAAGAAACGTTTATAAAAATATAATTATACTATTATTACAAGCATCCGTTGTCGTCCAGCGGTTAGGATATCTGGCTTTCACCCAGGAGACCCGGGTTCGATTCCCGGCAACGGAACTTTTTGTTATTTTAAAACCTTTTTCATTCAAATTTCTGTTTGGATATTATTTTGGTGAAAGTTCCTTTTTCCTTTAACCTTTTTCCTTCAATATTTTTTTTCCGGATATTACATCCCTTGATCTTAAACATTTCATTTTGAAGCCTTACTTTAATTTTGTTCGGTTTGGTTTAATTAAAAAAGAGCCAAACGGTTTAAAAATCAAACCTGATTTTATATGATTTGGTTTAATTTGGTTTTGAGCTTTTATAAACCAGCTTAAACCAAATTGGATAATTTATGTGTATATTTATTTATTTATATTATATTTCACATGTGTACTCTTATGAGGTAGTAACTATATATGGCTATTTAAATTGAGCTATATTAGTTATTGAAATTAGAAATTTTATAACATGTTGAGTTTTAGGATGATTTCTTACTTAAGAAAATGATTTAAATATGAGCAAGTTGTGAATTTATTACTTGTAATTAGGCTAACAATGTTGAAAAAATGGAAAAAGAAAGAGAACTGGGCTTAGCCCAAATCGGCACTGTCCTAAATTCGTTTAGTTTGATTTAATTTCCTTTGACTATAGACAAAACTGAACCAAACCAAACTGTTTTATTATAACTGAACCAAACCAAACTGTTTTATTATAATTGATTCGACCATAATTTTGAGGTGAAATTGATCCAATTCAGCCAATACTGTGCCCACCCCTAGTTTAGAGTATTCAAGCGGATCCCCTTGAAAAATACTTTCGTGAACAAAACATAATTATTCATTGGCAAATCACAGAGAAAGAAAAAATAACAACTCAGTCTTTAACTAATAACTTGATATGGCTGGGCCATTTTCATTAAACATTGAAACTTCAACTTCGACGAGTGTCTTGGCATGGAACTTGGATCTTCCCAATACAAAAATACAGCTCGATTTCTACCATATACAAAATAATCGAGCCCCTCCATTTTAGCTCCCATATCACCAGGGGTAACTTTCCATACTAAAAAAACATCATCCAAAATCCACTGATGTGTAAATAACTAAACTACCCCTACCAAGTTCAAATAACAGTTAAATCTAACTATTGAGGGTGGCGAGCATGCCTCCCCCTGCAGTTGGTAACACCACCTCCCAGCCAGGGCCCTTAAGGGGGAGAGCACCGGCAATGCCATCGGCCTTCTCTTCCTTATGATCATCAGGAGTAACCACCAGATCACTGCGATCCAACACCCTCTCCAAATCTTCGTCAGTAATCATGGTCTGTATCATCTTGTCTTCAGCAGATTCTTCTTCTCGGAGCAAAGCTATAAGATCGTCTTCCTAAAAAAATTATAAAAAAATTGGCATCACGTTCATATCAGTGAGCATGATCTTCAACTCACATACGCGGCCAGATTGTCCCATGCAAAAATGAATGAAAATTGTATTTGAATATTTAAGACTTGCAAAATTGATTTTTGCAACTATGAGACTCTTTCTAGAGCAAGATTTGCTATTTAAGTTCTCATAACGAACAAAGGACAGCATGCAAACCTCGAGGACATCGGTACAACCAGGCTTTGCCTTATCTTGATGGAACTGCCCTTTCCCAATCACCACGTGTTCAAGCTTCAACTTGCTAAAAGCTCTTTTCAAAATCCGACCCTGTTAATTCACATCTTCTCAGAAAATTTTCCCAATATACCAAATAAAGTGCACCTAATTATATGACAAATATTAAAACTCTGCATCACCAACTCACCTCTACAGATTGTGCTGTTGTCAATCTGTAAACATGAACAGGCTTCGTTTGACCGATTCTGTGACATCGATCCATGGCCTGCAAATCCATTTGAGGGTTCTGGTATGCACATGTAAAATAACAAATCAAATTAATCCTGTGTGAATGTTGAATTGCAGTAAAAGAAAAATAAAAGAAAGAATAAAAGAGAGGAGAGGACCAAGAATATACCCAATCACTGTCATACAGTATACAAGTATCAGCTGCAGTAAGGTTGATACCCAGTCCACCAGCTCTGGTGCTTAGAAGAAAAATTCTATAATTGCTGTCCACATCATTGAACACTGCAATCTGCTTGTAATAGAATATTTATCAATAAGCAATGAACCTAAAATAGGGGTAACACTAAATTTGAGTATGAAAACCAGTCGTGCAATGAGGAAATAAACTCTCAACCCTACGCACTGTCAGAATCCTAGCCTATGGCCAGAACTGGAATGGTTTTGTCTGCCAGAGGTATTCCACTTAAAATAACAGGATCTAACTGCTATATACATGGTTTAATAATAGATGTTAATCCAAGCAACAAATACAGATGGCATGGTTGAATTTATTTCTGCAATTACGCTTAACTGAATGACATAATTACAGTACAGAAGTCTGAAAAAAAAACATGATGGCTACAGTGCTGAAAAAACAATTCCAGTTTTAATGCAGCCAAAGCACACGCACATCTGCTAAACAACTTAGATAATCTCCAACAGAATTAAGACTTCTGATTCAAACCAATCACGAACCTGTCGTTTCCGTTCTTCAAGTTTCACACTACCGTCAATTCTACAGACTTGAAATCCTTTCTCACCAAAATAGTAATCCATTATATCCAAAATCTTAGTCCACTGAGAGAAGATTATAACCTGAATACAAAACAAATGGAAGATAGTTAGCAACCCAATAGCAAACAAAAATATACCCAAAATAACTGGTAGACATACTTTGTGTTTGCGGGCAAACAGCCGCTTCAACAGTCTGTCCAGCAAGCTAAATTTGCCACACTGCTCAACCATCTGTTCAACAGGTGGGTAGAAATCTGTCAAGAAATAGAAAACTGAATAAGGATTGGTCGAGCACCCATTTCAAATGGTAACACTGAATTAATTTAAAGTGAAGTACACGAGCCGTCAAATGCAGCCTCTAAAAGGTCAGGATGACAGCAGTTCTTCCGAAGTTGGACCATCAAATTGTTAAGCTTTCCCTTCATACCGCGTACTGCAAGTTTGAGAATTGTTAGATAACATAAATAACTGCATAATATGATACAGCAATAACTAACTGAGCTAATCATCGTATTTTATATAACACGCCTAAGTTAAGGACCATAACACAGGAAACAGAATAACTTAGAAATAATTATAGTGATCCAAATTTAAGAAATTGGGGACAAGTGGTGCTGCGAACAAACACATTGCAGAAATGATACCAGACAGCCAACCTTTTGGGATCATTTACAGAAAATAAAAAATATAGGAGCAACCAGGAAATCATTAAATTATTTTTTGACTCATCTAATGAGTAAATAATGAAAAACAAATCCAAGGTCAACCCTATCTGTTCCACAAAGGTCAATTTTGAAAGTCTGGCATATTGATATTGGAAGATACAGCATTTTCCCCATGATATGCATCATCAGTGTCTTAACTGGTTAAAGGAGACTACCAATGGTTCCAGGAAAACCAAATGCACAGAAAATTAGGACCTTATATATCTTACTACAATGCAAATCGCAGTTTTCACTAATACAGACAGATGTCATACCACGGTCCCCCTTCTCAAGTAGATAATTCTCCAGTGTCTTATTTATCAGATGTTCCTGTAAATGTTTTTGATGTTCTGTCATGGACGCATATAATATGATTTCCTTTTTCCTAGGAAGCATCTGCTCAACATCAGTCTTCATTCTTCGAAGAAGAAAGGGACGCAATATGGCATGGAGTTTTGCTACCATCTGTGGACAATTGAAACACCCTATTCATCATAACACAGTTCAATTTTTCTATAAAAATGAACCCACAACGTTTGCAAGGACGCATACTTGGGCCTTTCTCTTCTCTTCCAGTTCTTCCATCATTGCTTCACCATTGCACTTTCCTGCTAAATCAAACCTGCCAACAAGAATGCACTAAGCTAATTATCTAATAGACTAACAAAACATAGCCATACAAAAGAAATCTATTTCCACAAAAGTTATTCACCCAGCATATCATGGGCTTAGGTCTTAGCAAAACATAAAGACATATAGCGTGGTTCTTTCAACAGCTAACCTTCTAAACCAAAGATACTATTTTAATGACATCACTGTAATGATTGAATCGTGTCTACAATCCAGATGAATAACGGAATTGGACTGGACAGGTAAAACCATATTATGCCAAAGAAAATGCTTCTGACTTATTCCTTCACTGGACATTTGCAGGATTTCCACATAATATATAATAGTTGCATGTTTACCATTCCAGAGATTAAAAATATTACTAGGCAAGAAGCTTAATTATAACAAGTATGAATATACAACAGTTATTCAGTTGCCCATTGCAGTTTCTAGAAAGCAGGTGGTTCACAAACTAGACACCTAGTGGAGCTTGATATCGCCCATCACCAACAAAAAATATTTCCACCTTGATAGATGAACGAGTTTGCGAATTAACAAGCATCAAACTGGATTAAAAAAAACAGAAAACCATACTTACCATGACTCAAATTCTTCATGGGATGAGAATATATCAGGCAAAATGAAGTTCAACAATGACCAAAGCTCTGCCAGATTATTCTGCAGAGGTGTTCCAGTCAACAGAATCTTATTTTCTATAGGTAAGAATTTCAATTGCTGCAATAACTTGCACTTTGAGTTTTTCAATCTGTGTCCCTTCAATAAACAGACGCAGAATAGGTCAACATTCATGCTATATTATAGGTTTTTTTTAATAGAAACAATATCAGTAAACGGACTAGTCTACTCACTTCATCAACCACAAGATATTTCCACTTGTAATGTCTCAAAAATCTTCTTGCATCAGCCATTGCAACTTCATAAGAAGTAACAATTATAGGGAAGTTAGGGCCAATTGCTCTAGGCATGTGCTTCCTTCGTATCTCATCCCTCTGTTTCTTGTCCCCATGGTAGACCATAGCCTTTATTGAAGGGGTGAACCTATTTGGGGATAGAAGGTTAAAGGAAGAAATAAAGTTGACAGAAACTATATTCAGAGAAGTTAACCAAAAAGAATCTATTTAAAACATTTACCTTGAGAATTCATTTACCCAGTTGGAGAGAGTAGACAGAGGAGCAATCACTAAATACGGCCCATCCAATCCATTCCCTTTCAGATGAGCAAGAAAACCAATGGTCTGGATAGTTTTTCCAAGTCCCATTTGATCTGCAAGGATCCCGTTCAGCCCATTTTGCCATAATGAGATCAACCACTTTACACCTTTGATTTGATAAGACTTCAATTTTCCACCAGTCAACAGAGGCACAAGTTCCTTTTGCTCTTTCTCAACTCTTTCTTCCTCAGTGAGGTCCACATCTTCAGTTTTCTCACCCTCTTTAGATCTTGTAAGCATAGCTTGAACTGCCCTCTTGGCCTTCTTCTAAGGAAATGAAGATAGTAAAGGTCAAGATGTCAATATACAAGGAACTTAAAGAAGACAGAGAAATATCCAATAAACTTCTAATGGGATGAAATTTAAAACATAATTAAAAGATATATTCACTATATTCCGCAAAAATATTTAGACTTTATTATGTCACCCAGCAAGCAAATTTTCTCCCGTGGAAAAGATTAATCCACTTGGGACAGAAGATAAAGAGCAATCGGACCACCCAAAACCTCAATAAATAGATGTTCATCTGATAGATAATTGTGACAATACTAATTACATCTGATAGGACAACTATACAAGAACATCCATATATATTCATGATCAACCAAACCAGACTCAAATGAACAAGATATCTCATTTTGGAAAAAATGAAGGAAGCATGGAATTTCTTACGTTATTGTAGGTTGCAGTGGCTTTTCTTTTTCTACCACGACCTTTCTTTTCCTCAACAGTTTCAGTCTGCTGCTCGGCTCCAATCTAGCATGACATTTCATTTTATAACTTAATCAGCAAAAAGCATTAGAAAGAATTTACCATTTAAGAGAAAAGTGTAAGAGAAGATACAAGTGTGATGTTATCCATTTTCTCAAGCAAAAACTGCGAGTAAAGCTGAGTTTGTGTTAGGAGCTCATCCAACTTGGTAATCTGAGTGTTATTCAAGTTGGGTAACTGCTCTGCCGCCTTTTCTGCCTCCTCTTCCTTCACCCGATCTTCAAGCAACTTTTCTTCCACATCAGTCAAGGCTTTTGGCATAAGCAAGGAATCCTCATTATTTTCATCAATAAGTATCTCCTCCTCTGATTTGACCTCGCTCTTCTCTAATTTGACATCAATCTTCTCCTCGCATGTTTCCTTAAACATTATTTCAATACAACAACATTATAAAATGAACAAAACATGGGTAAAAATGTAACATTAGTAGTAGTTCGAAGCAAATATAGACCCTATCTATCAAATTCAACAGAAACCACACACTAGGCATCTATAATTTGTCACACAGAAGAAGCTTGTCAGGACTATAAAAGAACATATTTCATAGAAACAATAGATCGAGCATGTGCATGCAAACATCATTTTCCCACAGCAAGACCAAAACTTGAAAGTTCTTAGTTCAAAAAGTACGTCAGAGACATAAACACACACAGGCATGATTTCTTTTCTTTTCTACAAAATTCGTTATTTTGAGGAATTTCTTGTCTTTCTACTCGTTCTTCAAACATTTTCCTTCAAACTCTGCCACATTCCTAAGAACCAACCAGACCGACAGAGAAAAGCTATAGAAACAACCGCACACAGTAGCAGAGAGAGAAGAGAGCAGGGAAGATGAAGAAGCGCTTGACAGTTCAGATATTATTAAGTGAGAGAGAGAGTAGTGGGTGGAGCAGAGGGTCCTATAAAGTACCCCAAATTTATTAAATTTTTCAAGCGAGCGAAGTGACTGGGCGGGAAAACGGGGTTTGAATATTGCCCTAGAACGAGTAGTTAATTACTCCTGCACCTTTCTTGTTTTACGATGTTTTCCTTTTTTGTTAGGTTTTTTCTTCACGTAGGGTGTTATTAGTCTTTTCGGTGAATGGAGATATTGGTGGGTTGGGTTCCCAAATTGAAGGGAACAGGCACGCTTTGTCCGGCATTTTCTCGGATTTGTCGTTATTGAGTCCACCCTTTGGAAAAATATGATTTTTTAAAAATTTAGTTCAGTTTTTGGATATGGATAATTATATGGAATGTTTTTATTTTATTTTCTCAATGCTCGTCAACTTTGACCAATTTCTTTAGGAACTTGATTTTCTCCTTGATTATTATGTTTTTTCTTCTTAGTTATATGTAATGTGTTGTATATATTTGATGTTTCACAATTTATAGATAGGAAACATTATTGTGTGTTACGTTTGACTTAATTTGAAACGCTTTGTCAACCAAAAATAGAAACAATGAGAAGAAAAAGGGTTATCATAGTTGACTAAGACAAACTAACAAAATTTAAGTTTGAATTGAAAAAGAGAAAGCATTTCAAAAAAAAAATTATTTTAATTGGAATTCTAATGGACATTCTCATTAACAATGCAATGTTGGAAACATTATAAAATGAACAAAACATGGGTAAAAATGTAACATTAGTAGTAGTTCGAAGCAAATATAGACCCTATCTATCAAATTCAACAGAAACCACACACTAGGCATCTATAATTTGTCACACAGAAGAAGCTTGTCAGGACTATAAAAGAACATATTTCATAGAAACAATAGATCGAGCATGTGCATGCAAACATCATTTTCCCACAGCAAGACCAAAACTTGAAAGTTCTTAGTTCAAAAAGTACGTCAGAGACATAAACACACACAGGCATGATTTCTTTTCTTTTCTACAAAATTCGTTATTTTGAGGAATTTCTTGTCTTTCTACTCGTTCTTCAAACATTTTCCTTCAAACTCTGCCACATTCCTAAGAACCAACCAGACCGACAATATTAACCAAACAGAAGATAAAAAATTCCAAATAAAAATAATTAGGGTTTCAGAAAACACAAACCCTAGGTTTCGGGTTCCAAACAATAACCATACGAAAAAGCGAACAGAAACAAGAAAAAAAACGAAATAATGAAATATAAATATAAATATAAAAAAAGACATGAAATGAAGGAATAGGAACCGTACCCAGAGTGAACCGCAGGGAGAGGCGAATGCCTCCAAAGCACACAGTAGCAGAGAGAGAAGAGAGCAGGGAAGATGAAGAAGCGCTTGACAGTTCAGATATTATTAAGTGAGAGAGAGAGTAGTGGGTGGAGCAGAGGGTCCTATAAAGTACCCCAAATTTATTAAAATTTTCAAGCGAGCGAAGTGACTGGGCGGGAAAACGGGGTTTGAATATTGCCCTAGAACGAGTAGTTAATTACTCCTGCACCTTTCTTGTTTTACGATGTTTTCCTTTTTTGTTAGGTTTTTTCTTCACGTAGGGTGTTATTAGTCTTTTCGGTGAATGGAGATATTGGTGGGTTGGGTTCCCAAATTGAAGGGAACAGGCACGCTTTGTCCGGCATTTTCTCGGATTTGTCGTTATTGAGTCCACCCTTTGGAAAAATATGATTTTTTAAAAATTTAGTTCAGTTTTTGGATATGGATAATTATATGGAATGTTTTTATTTTATTTTCTCAATGCTCGTGACCTTTGACCAATTTCTTTAGGAACTTGATTTTTTCCTTGATTATTATGTTTTTTCTTCTTAGTTATATGTAATGTGTTGTATATATTTGATGTTTCACAATTTATAGATAGGAAACATTACTGTGTGTTACGTTTGACTTAATTTGAAACGCTTTGTCAACCAGAAATAGAACAATGAGAAGAAAAAGGGTTATCATAGTTGTCTATGACAAACTAACAAAATTTAAGTTTGAATTGAAAAAGAGAAAGCATTTCAAAAAAAAAATTATTTTAATTGGAATTCTAATGGACATTCTCATTAACAATGCAATGTTGGAAACGACGACGTTTTAGGAACTGGTGGAACAATGATTTGAAAATCCAGTACATAAATAGAAAGTAATCTTTGCCAGAAAATTACTGGAAAAATATACAACAATATTTAAAGTAGATTGTGGTGTGGATAATAGTTATTGTGGGTTGACAAATTCCACAGCAAACAAATAGGATATTACACAACATACTTAGGACTGGTGACAGAAATTTTCAAATCCCATGTACTCTTGATTCTCCATCTTCTCAACCATATTTGCTATCCCCACCCCACCTGAACCAAAAAAAACAGCAAAATCAAAATTAAGTACTTTAGCTTATTATATAAGCTGAAAAAATACTTGTTCATTTTGCTTTTGTGTGAGTTATTTGTTATACCTAAGCTGATTGCGCTCACAAAGATGGTCAAAGCTAGTATGAAGATGACAATGGAAGCCCTCCCAACAACTGCAATTATCTTTCTCACTACATGCTGACCAGTGAATGCAGCAATTGTTGCAACTAGAACAAAATAAGCAGCTGCAGCATAGAGTAAACTTGGAACAGTTAGTTTTTTTTCTTTCTTCTTTTTTTGGTATATATAGAAGTTATGAACAAATATAATTTTTGAAATCTCAGCTGAAGTTAGATTATTGCTACTACTTACCATAAGGGACTGGGAAACGGTTGAGAAGGTAATACTGTACAACTGACATGGAGGATGAGAATAGCATTGCAAATGTGGATGTAGCACTTGCTACCTGCCAAAAGATAAAAAATCATCAATCTGGTTTCGTTTTCCTGCTTATTTCGGTTGCAGATGTGATTTTCTCTTCCTGATGTTTTCGGTTATGATACCCGAAAATGTATGTTATAGATGATAGGCTATCAGCCTATGAGGCTTATATATGTTCTCTCAGCTGAGGCCAGTCCAGTTGACTTATTAATGGCAGGTAATCTAGTTGATATCCTTTGCACCATTGGATTTGGGCTGGACAAGATTTTCTGACTGATAAAAAGAATAGAGTGAATTTTGTCTTGCATTGAACAATACCTGAGGAGGAATTCCCAATTCAAGAAAAAGGGGTCCCAAGATGAAACCGCCTCCCAGCCCAAGTAGGCCACCCACCATACCAGCTACTATCCCACAGCTGCAGTAAGGAAAAATCTGATGCAACTTCCAGTTTGTGATTTCCTTTCCTTTGGATGCAATCACCCTGGTGCCTTTGCATAAGCATATGGCTTCAAAGAGCGTAACGGAGACTGCAATTGGTACCTACAAAATGATAAAATATTATGTTCAACTGGACATCATTCTTTTTATGTATGCTTGAGTGTACATAGTTATGTGTTTCTATAGTTCTCCTGAAAGAAATCTTACTACCCTAGTTGTTAACCTTACCTGCAAGGAGTTCAGGACCCAGAACATGGTGGAGCAAGTTTCAGTATATGTCTGCACAAAGTTCAGATACACTAATTCATTAACAAAAGTTAAAATCATGTTGCTTTGGAAGCAAATGCAGAGGAATTAGAAAGATGGAACTTGATTGCATTGCTAGTGATGATCATATCTTTTGGAGAGCATTTTAAGGTCCGGTATGCGAATAGATGAGTTCCTAGAAAAGCTTCTTTAGTTGAACAGAACTACAGAATAAAATAACTTACCTTAACAATCTGAACAATAAGAAAAGCCACCCAGACATACACAAGCATCGATAACTCCTTCCAGTAAACGTTGTGTGATATAGGCACCTGGATAGAGTTGTTCATAATATCAATAAAACAAAAACTGAAACAACTTAAAAATTGAAGATGACAAAGAAGTTGCAAAAGAATACTGCCCTAGAGTGTTCTGATATTCTTGGAACTTACCTGCTCATCTTGCAATGAAGCAGGACCACCAGGTAGTGGTTTGTAGTCTTCTCCAGAACCATCTGCAACAAAGGAGATGCGCACTTTAGAGTTTTCTTTTAGTTGATATTAGTGTATAATCTCTAAACTTGGTCTATATATATAGGAATGTTTGATTGGATGAGCACTCACCGCCAGGTTTGGACTCCGATTCCAACTGCTTTTCTGCTTCCTGAAAGTCATTTGAAATCTCAAATTCCTTGTTACTAGATTGGTACCAGACCATATTCATTGATAGCTCAGGAAATAGTTAAGTGAAAACCTTACCTTCTTCATCATTGTCTCTTTCTTCCATGTTTCTACGCCTTTCATTAAAGCTTTTGCTGCTGTACCTGCCAGAATTCAGAAGAATATCTAATAAGATTATTGGGAGTATTCAAAGTAAATAAGGAATTTGTGTTCAAAATGTTATTACCTAAGAAGAGAATGATAAGTAGAACTGTGACCATCCAGTCGGCGAACATGACGTTGAAGGCAACT